ACAGCTGCCCAGGTGAAAGGCTGCTGCCTCCTCAGTGAGGCTACTCCTGGGGATTGGCAGGGTTTGAAGGCAGCACGGTAGTGTGTGCTAGTGGGGACAGCTCACTGAATGCCCACTCCTCCTCTGGGGGCTGGGAGGAGTTGATTTCATTCTGGACTTGTTCCCAAGAGACGTTCTAAGGGACAATCTCTTGGCCTTCCTCCAAAGTGTCCCTCTAATTCGAGAGTCCTTCTCCTTGGTGAGGTGTCAGGGCTGGGTGAGAGATGGTGGGCATGGTAGGGAGAAGAGGCGCTACCCAGAGCCTGGTGTGGAGATACACAGAATTTAAGTGAATCAGTGAACGAAGGGAGGAGGAATCCCTGGATACAGGCTTTGGAATTAGATTTTTCCCAGCTCTGCCAAGTACCGCTATATGATCTTGAGCAAGCAACTTTGTCCCTTTGAGCCTTGGTTTCCCCAGTCATCAAATGGCTTCCTATCACCTATCTCCTAGAGTCCCGTGAGGATTAAAACTTATATATGCAAATGTCCTGCACCGTCTCTGCCAAAGACGATGGGCTTCCAGAAGTTGACAGTTTTTATCAACTCAAAGATATTGCCCTTTTAGAAACTTCCAGGTTGTGTGTTCCCCTGGTTGCGTGGCGCTGATAACACAACTGACAGCCGTGTACACGGTGTAGACCCAGGCCCCCCAGGAGACCACTGACTTCCTATACCACCCCTATTCTCCTTCCTCCATCAACCTCTGTCCCCTGCTTCCCTCCACACGTGGGGAAGGCTCTTGAGAAATGCCAGATCATCACACCTGGAGGTTTAGATAACACCAGCACTTTCCGAGGGACTGACATTTACTGCCCGGGACATCAGGGGCTGATAGAATGTCCTAGGTTGGGAGAATATGCCAGCTCATCGATCCTGCTTCCTCTGAGCAGGCCTCTGGTCACCAGGGCCCGTGACGAGGGCAGATGGTCAGGACCCACCCCCGGTTCACCGGAGCAGCTCAGTAACAGACCAGGGTCTGGGCTTCCCATCAATTCATAGGGCTCCACGGTGGCTTCAGCGCTGGAGCTAAGCAAATGCTCAGCAAGACTGGGGAGGGAGACTGGATGCAAATCTCCCGCCTGATGCTGGGGCTGCTGCAGCTTGGGGTGGGGCAGTGCGAGTGCGGTGAATGTCACATACAAAGCCAGCACGCTCGTGGGAGCCTCTTGCTATTATCATCAGTTGCCTGGTTACTCTGAGCTCGGCCACAACAGCCTTCGAGGAGCCTCTTGCTAGGATTCTCTTTCCAGTTTGGGGGTATGTGTGCTTAATCCAGAAGGGGCTTGATGGATATCACAGAGCCCTCGAGGATATGCACAGTGGGACGTGGGTCTCATGGAGAAAGGTCAGACAACTCAGAACCCCTCAGTTCAGGGACAGTGGAGACGGCATGTGCTCAGGGCCACAGCAAGGACTGTGGTGTTGAGGAGATGCCTTAATTCTTCTATTCTCTGCCAGCAGGCAAATGGACTGATGGATGATGGGGAAAGGGCACTGTTCTGGGAGTCGTGATACCGGGGTTCAAGCCGCAGCACTGGCCCCTCCCAGAAACCATTCATTTCTCCATTCCTTTTCCAGCCTCAGCTTCTACAATGAGCTGAGCTGCCCCCTCCTTTCAACTTATCCCTCCCTTCTTTCCTCCCATCTGAGGATTGCTTGGGGTAGACCTCCTGGCTGAAGAGGTGGCCGATGCCAATGCAGGGGGCGACTATTTATCTTCACTGAGGGTGCCACGACAGGAAATGGGATCTGTGCCCTTGGCAGGGGATCTGAGTGGGTGAGGGTTGAACTGAACCCTGGGAAGGGTTTCTGAAGGAAGTCTCCTTCCCTAAGAGCTTTGACATGGGGAGGATGCATGGGAGCTGGCCCTGAGAGGCTGGAATCATGGAGGCTCCTCTACCAGCCCTGGGTTCTCACTAAATTCCTTCTGCTGAGATAAAAAAGATCACCAGTGCTTTTGACTCCATGTCTCTGGCACTACTGCTCTCTCTCTTCAAACTCACGCCCACCCTCGAGCTAACTAGATATTTACAATATTCAGAATCCTATTCACTAATATGCAGTGTGCACGATTCTACGGGTCAGTGGAGAGCGCTAAATGTTCCACTCAGAAGACAATAAAGTTCTCCAGACAGACCTGGAGCCGGGGAGGGAGAAAGCAATGGCAGCTTCCCCGGGAAACAAAAAGAGCAAAGGGATCCTTGCAGGAAAGATGTGCTTGTGATGGGCTCCTCCTTCCTGGCAGACCACTGCGTTCCGTGGCGCAAGCCCCAGTGTGGGAGAGGGAAGAGTTGCTACAGGGATGGAGGGGCCAGAAATAGCCGCCTGACAGGGAGAAGGGCCAATCCTTGAGAGGCTGTGAGTTGAGCCTGTACTGTCCTCGGCTGCCCTTTCTCCTCCCGGAGCCCGGGGTAAAGGCAGGCAAGGGATGGAGGGGGAGGAGCTGTCACCTCCATAAATCACTAGAGGGCTGTGCTGGGCTTCAGAATGAACATCCGCAGCCGGGCCCGGGGTGGCAAGCACGGGACCCCTGGGTGCTAGGTGAACTTCCTCAGTGGCACGCACTGCCCCGATTACCTGGGAGTCCACCTTCTGTCCTAATAAAGCTGACGAGCAAAACTGAGCCAACGATGACATGTCAAAGGGCTCACGGCTGGCGCCCGCCCTGGTTGGACCCTCCATGTCCCAAGGGCTGTGTCAACCTGGCATGAACCTCTGGGTGCTGAAAGAGGGCTTCCAGTGAGGGGCTCCAGTGCCTTTGCGCTCTGCTCTCATCAATGGCCGGAATCCCCTCTACCTCTGACAAGCTCTTCCTCAGAGAAGCAGTGAGCGTTTCCTGGAGGAGCACCCATTGGGCTTTAAAGGTTGGCATCACAAGAGGTCCAGTGGATGGGTGAGAAAAGAGGCCCTCACCCTCTCTTATTTCAGACCACCACCATTGTCATCACTGCCGCCTTCCATCTCCTCATCACAGCCAACAGCCAGTACACAGCGGCCAGGCCCTTTTCTAAATCATCACCCCATTCAAACCCCACGATGACTCTATGAAAATATGGAAAACCCTATGACCATTTTATGAGGGGGGAAACTGAGGCACACAGAAAGGATGTCACTTGCCCAAGGTCACACGGGAGATTCGTGGCAGCCCTGGGGTTCAAACTCAGGCAGTCTGGCTTTGAAGTTTGTGCTGTAACGACAAGCTCTCGCACTGGTCTTTGTAAGAGACATTTCTGAGGAGCAGAGAGTGAATCCCTCATTTCTCCCCCAAGCACAGCCCCCTACAGGAACTCTGATATAAGATAGATGACAACACTTCTACACCATCACTGCCCAATCCCCTCAGGCACCCAGAGCTCAGTGGAATGCAGTGGAGAAAAGATGCTGCCCTGTACTCTGTTCTGTCCACAGAGCACCACATGTGGGCATGAATCCGTGGACCAAGGGTGGTTCTGAGAAGGAAACGGTGTACCAGTATCGAGTGCCCACCACATGCCAGGACCGAGTCAGTGTCTCCCATGCATCACCTGCTCTAACCCTGGCAGGGGGGCGCAGCCATCATTCTCGTTTCACAGATGAGAAAACTGTGGCACAGGGAAGGCCAGTGTGGGTTGAGCTGCCACGGGTGGGAGCTCTGAAAGGCAGCCCTCTGCTGCTACCCTGAGCCAACGCAGGGCACCACGTGCCTGCCCCGCTGTGAGGGTGAGGGCCGCGACCTGCTGCATGCAAGGTGGGTTCCCTGCTGTCCCTGACGTGAGGCGAGGGAAAGGCTGCCAGCCAGGAGGAGAGAGGAGCAGATGTCTGGACAAATATGGCCATGTGTCAACAAAACAGGCACTTGAGGCTCAAGACTCAGAGACAAAGGTGGCTGGCGAGGCTCTCCGAGGGTCCCAGTGCACCTTCTCTGCCTGTGTGTGTTCCCAGGGCCCACAAAGGCCGCAGCTGTGTCCCGGAGCTGCCACCTTTGGTTCTGCACAGCTGACCCACACCCTGGGCCTCTTGTGATGCCAGACTGCTAAAGCCCAATGGCTGTGATTCCAGGAAATGTTCACTGTTCTTCTGAGGAACAGCTTGTCAGAGGTGGAGGGGATCCCAGCCATTAATGAGACCTCCCTGTCACTTTATTTTAGCCTTGAGGAACAGCGAGGCTGAGAGGGGACAGGTCGCCTGCGGGCAGAGCTCACGGAAGGCAGCCCACTGTGACAGCTCTGCCACTACCTTCCTTCTGGATTCTGACCTGGAGCTCGGTGCCACGAGGGCAGTGGCTTTGGGTACAGCCGGGCCCTTGTTCACACAGCCTCTGCCCCACATCGGCGGCTGGGCCCAGCACCCACTGCAGGAGCAAAGCCTGGCTGTGCTGCACTGAACCAATTTGGAGATGCCGCCTTGCTTAAAAAATAAAAGGTTCTCAAGGAGCCTGGAGGGATTTCGGTACACACGCTTCCATGCAGCTGCACCTGCCGGGGCTGCCCTCACAGACAACCAGCACAAAACAGAACCCCCGGCCATGAGCAGAAGAAAGGAAGGGAAAGATGCATTCCCTTGGCTGCTTCTTGGGTGCCTCTTACTCTCCTTTCCAAGTGCTCTGCCCTCTCCGCACTGTTCTGTGTGGCATTTCCCATGCTGCCTACCCCACGGGGCCACCTGAACTGAGGAATTTTCTTGATGACTTGGAGAGGCCTGGGAAACGCATTTGCTTCCCATCCCCAGTTTATGTCCCAGGTTCCTGCATACATGAAACAGGGGGAGGGAAGGGGGACAGAGAAACTGCTTCTTCCTCCGAATACAAAATCCCCAGGATCTTCTCCAAGGATGTTGTACACATTAAGCAGAATCAAAGGCAAAAAGAGAACACCTGCGTGAGGAGGTGACTCTGTGTGTTAGAGGCCTGGCTGCCTCTCCTATAACGGGTCCTGGAAAGGGGAGGCCGGGACAGGTGGGGAAGGGAGCCACGGTCTCACCTTTGCATCCTGCTTAGTGAGGAAGTCCACAAAGCCGAAGCCTCTGTGTGTGCCTGTCCCGGTCATCTTCTTTGGCAGGCGGACCGTCTTCAACTCCCCAAAGGTGCTAAAAACAAAAGGCAAGATATAGGGGTTTAAGAAGAGAGGCCTGCAAGTGAGGTCGGGAAGGCAGGACTGATTCTCACACGTAAATCCCTTTGGGTTATAAAAGACAAGTGCATGCAGGCACGCAGACGCTTGCACGTGTCAGCTCAGGGGCACGAGCGGCCTTCTCCCAGGCCCGGGCCATCAGGCAGGGCAGGGAGGCAACAATCGGGCTGGAGATGTGAATGGAGAATTTTCAGTTCCTCTGCAACTAGCTAGAGACTCTCTGCCCCCATGGGGCCCCACTTCCCTGTGGGGTAACTATGCACTGGGGAGGACCCTGCCTAGTACACAAGTAGCCAGGCTCGGGTTGGGGGGCCTGGGCAGGTCAAGGTGCTGCCCATGTGTGCGAGTCGGGGCTCTGGACATGGGACCAGCAGGGTTGCCTGACCTTTCCAAACTGCCTCTATGTCTGAGCTGAGCACATGGCGACCCCAGGCTGAGCAAATGGGATGGGGCCCCTTCTCCAGGACCTGGGACGTTTGGGACATGTGTTTCTTTAGCGCTCAAATGACACGCAGCGACTCCCTCTAAACCCTGCTTCCCCTCCCTCTGAGCTTTCATTTCGATATCTTCCAAGCCAAAGTCAGGCAAAGCTCTGGAGAAGAAAATGGGTTGGCTTCTCCTGACAGGGATCAAACCGGTAACCACAGCCTTGGACCATCCCCCCTGGTTCCCTCCTCTCCTCTCCTCCAGATTAAACCTTTGAGAAATTGTAGGACAAAGGGATAGGGCTTTCTCAGGCCTCCTTGCCTCCCTGTCTCACTTCCCACCCCCCAATCTTTTCCTAATGTCCATTTATCAAATATATACGTACAAATTGCTGCCGATAAATATTTAATGTGCACGGCATCTGAAGAGAGGTATTATTTTTTTTGAAAATCTACACACACTTTCGGCCGCCTGGGCACACACATACGCACGATGGTCTAGGATGCTTTGGGGCCAAAGACCGATTGGGTAAAAAACACAGTAAAGGCCGTAAGCTCTCATGAAATGATATAAGCTAAATCCAAAGCGTTAACCCACAGCCCTGCCAGCATGACCAGGCATCTGCCAGCCCAATTTCTGAAGGCAGGACGGTGTGTAAATGCGGCATTATGAATCCTCAAAATGAATCTGCACGTCTCCTCAGAGCTCTCCCCACCAGCTCTGCTCCCCCCTCCTGGTGCCTCCTCTGTGTGGGCAACGAAAAACAACAGAGATGCACTGGTGACAAGGCCAGCCTCCCAGGGAGGGGAAGGAGCCAGGAATGTGGGGAGTGGAGCCCGGTCAGGTTTCCCTGCTGGAGGGGAGCCGGGACTGGGGACCAGAGGCTGGGCAGGTGGGGACAAGGTGAGGTTGGAGAGCTGAGGAGTCAAGCCCGCAAACCCTGCTTCATTCTGCCACCTAAAGGCGGATCCATCCCATGACAGACACTGTCTCTCTTTCCTCCACCAAAGCCTCTCTGCCATGCTGGCTTTGAACAGGGAGAGCAGGGCATGGACAAATTTTCTTGTAAGCTCATTCAGAAGAATGGTTCTTTGGGTCCAGGTCTTCAGAAGGCCACTGGCACCGCAGGGATGGCACATCCGGTGGCTAAGGGGCTGGAGCCTGAGAGCATTCAGAGCTGGTATGAGGCAACTAAGAGGCACAGGGAAAACCAGGCTGGCTGCTTTCTCAACACAGCCACAGACAGCCACTGGGTGAGCTGGTTCCTCCATCCCTGCCTTGGCCTCACCTAACTGCACTAGCCCCAAGATGTCTTTCCCAACCCCTCAAGGCTGGGGTGACTGCCCCCATCCACAGTGTCACCGCTCACCGTGCTCCCCGACCAGGGGTCTGTGGGGTGCATGCCTGTTTACTTCTCTGCCTTCCCTGGCCGGGGCTAGGGCTCAGCTCTGCAAGAGTCCAGGCCCCATCTATCTTGCTCATCACTGGACCTGCGGCAGTGAGCCCAGCGTCTGGCTCAGGGTAGAAGCCTGAAGGTATTTTGGAATGAATGAACAAGCAAATGGTAGCCCTGGAAGGTGGACATTACCATGGGTAAATTACACCTACCCTCAGAGAGTGGTGATGAGGGTGAAATGAAATACACATAGCACTAATGTGAACTATTGTTAGCCTTATCATTCCCGTGTTACAGATGAAGAAACCGCAGCTCTGGGAGCCAGGGGTCCTTCCTCACAGGCGGCAGGGTTAGAATGTGAATCCAGGCATGTCTGACGTTATGCCCGAGCTCTCTTTCTGCTGCACAATGACTCAACCCCCTTGCATCATCTGGACGGGGACTGGCCACTTGTAAGAGCTGGGGCCTCTTTCTTCCTGAGTCTTGGTCAGGTCTGCGGTGAAGCAGGAAGACCCCATGCGGGGTGGCCAGGAATGCCTTGTGTAGACTCCCAGGGGTCCAGTGACTTCCCTAAGACCACCAGGCAAGGTGGGGGTAGACCGAGTCCCAGTTCTTTCTGCCCACACTGTGTGCAAACCCTCTACTTCTGCCCACAAGGGCTATAATCTCCTATCCCTTGATGGTCTCAATGACCTCTGCCCAGATTTCTGGTAAGCCAGACTGTGTGTGTGTGTGTGTGTGTGAAGGGGAGAAGGGGTCATGGGAGGGGGGTGGTGTGAGAGAGAAAGAGAGAGAGAGAGAGAGAAAGAGACTGTTGAGGTTAATTCCTCCCTCTCTGCAGCACATTGCAAGCTGTGGATGCTGTGTGCATTGTAAGCAGCTAAGGGTCCAGAGAAAGGCGAGAAAAATAATTAAAAGGTAGAGAAAAACGCCGTTGAGGAGCGGCTGCAGGAGCCATGCTTTCGTGGCCTGCAGAAGTGGCATTTGAGAGTTCGGCAGGGAAAGCCGGGACAGAAGGGCAGCCTGGATCTACCAGGAATCGTGGGCAGGGATCAGGGAGCTGGGAATCCCATCCCAGGCAGCTGAAGGGCCTTGGGGAGGTCCCGGTTGTGGTCGGGGGTTTCCAGGCAGACATCAGCATGACAAATGAAATGCCGCCTATGAAGACTGGAAGCTTCAGAAATCCTATTATTCTTCAGGGTCAGAGAAATGGCTACGGTGAGCAGGTTTCTTCCTTCCTTGTAAGAACAGGACAAGAGAGAACTGAAGCTTAAGGAGGAGCTGAAAGATCAGGGTTAGATCTTAGAAGGAACTTCCCAATGTCTGTGGACACTTCCTGAAATGCATGGATGAGGCTTCAAGACACCATCATTGCTGCCATCATCTCCGCTACCAATGAGTGCCTGCAATATGCGGTTTTTTAAATACATCATCTCCATGCCTCTGTTTTACAGATGGGAAAACCAAGGGCCAGAGAAGAAAAGCGACTTGCCCATGTCCCACGGACCCAGGAACTCAAAACCCGGGTCTTTTTCATCCGGGCTGCTTCTCTCAGCCCAAGAACAAAGCTGGACAGTGAGTGGCTTGGTTGCTTGTATAACGGTATGGGATCATATGAGGCCAATACTAATGATCTCAGAGAGCTATCGAAAGAGAATTAAAAAGAAAAAAAAAAGGTTGGGGGAGAAGAAATCAATGAAGTACCTTTAGCTCCTTGGAGATAAGCGATATATAAATACCAGCCATTATTAAGGTTCTTATCTGACAGCAAGGTCTACGAAGCTGTTTTTAAGAGCAGCTTTTGAAGGAAGTTGTGCGTGAACCTTTGTCTTCTGGGAGCTTAGGCCACTGTCGGGGTGAAGCTGCACAGGGCCACCAGGGACTGGGGAGGAAGAAAATCACGGGGCACCCAGGAACTCCTCCCTGAGACCAACTCTGCCGCTCGGGAAGGAGACGCACACCACACTCCCCACTGTGCAGATAATAGAAACCACAAAGTAGCAATTACTGTATCAGAAGCTGTGAATAAAGAGGACATACCGGGCTTTTAAACACAGCCCTCCTTCCCTCCCCCACCATGCTCACACTTCGGTAACAAACTCACACCTCACTTTTCCAATTATTTCATTCACCCTGGGTTCACCAATTACTCCCCCACCCTGAGCCCCACCCCCTCTGCCATGCCAGGCACATGATTGGTGGTGGGTTTGTGGGTTTTCCACAACTGGAGTTTGTTGTCACGTTTCTAATTTCTTTTGAGGAGTGTTGGGGGGGTGAGGGGGAGAGAAGGGACGGGGCTCCGAGGTGCTGCGTGAGGCAAGCCAATTACGCCCAGCACTCATAAACAAGTCGGGGGATGTAAATTGTGTTTGCACACAGGCCTGAAGGCAGACACAATACGTATGTGTGTGTGGGGGGCAGCCAGCGTGCGGGTGGGTGGGGATTTCCTCCCTCCATGCAAACTGTGTGCCCCCTGACTGGTCTCGCCCCAGCCTTGGCCAGCAGCTGCTACCGAGAAAGGATGAATCATCTTGGGTCTCTCTCTCCCTCCCTGATTGAAGCGACAGGCTCAGGGCGAAAGAAGTGAGAGGAAGGGTGGAGCAGAGGAAGTGAGAACCCTCCAGAGATGCGGAGCTGGACAGTTTTGCAGCTGTGCTGGTACCTGGAGCCTGGGTAGGCTGGGAGTCCGGCTTAACCCCACAGCCTGCATGCTGGCACCAAGTGGGGTCAAGCCTAGGGCCCTCTGCTTCCAGGACATAAGTCTCCCTCACTATTTGGATCTGCTGGAAGAGCCAGAATCCCAGCAGAAGTGCTGAGTCATTGGGGGAGTTTGCTGGCATAACTTCTCCCCACCTGCGCCCAAGGCATTGTTGAGAAAAAAAGTCTGCCACCACCCAAGAGACCCTGAGTCAGAACAACGGTGTGATCTGAACAAGATGAAGGGGTGGTTTCATGATAAGAATAAACTGCAGGTTGCTTGTGCTCCACCTAGAGGTAAGAAAAAATAGCTAAATCTCTTGGCATTAAAAAGCCTTTCAAATATGCCACCCCCACCAATTTTCTAACACACATGACGCACATACACGCACATCTGTCCATTCACTGGGTACTTCCTCAGTGCTTACGTGCCCTGC